TAATTCCTGTACATTTTATTGATCCTTATGCTAGTTTCGTTCAACAAGACGTTCGGCCGTCTCCGTAAACTCCGACCAGCTCGTCGGAGTTTACGGAGACGGCCGCCATTTTGACCCCGCTTCAAATTTTAAAATGCAAATATCTAGAGTTTGAATTTATCAATTTTAAAACAAAATATATATTAAGTATTTTTAGAAGTGTTTCTATTAACCATAACAATATCAAAGAAAAATAATGAAAAACAAAAAAAGTTGAAAAACTTCATTTTTGAAATTCGCTTCCGGTGGTGACCGGAAGCATCGACGACACACAAAAAAATTGGTCAGAACATCTACAAGTCATGCTCTATTATCTTTGACATGTCTCCAGTTCATATCTTTAGCCGTTCTAGAGGAGATAGGAAGACAAAAATCCAATTCAAAATCAGAAAACTGGTCATTACATGGAACCGAAAGAGATTTTTTGAATTTTCTCCTCAAATGCACAAAGATCATAATAATGTCCATTATCCCTGAAAAAATCATTGAAAACCACTGAATAGTTTTTGAGAAAATGCGTGCACAAAATATGGGAGGAAAAATAAGAATAATAATAAGAAACAGTAGAATCACTATAAGGTCTTCCGTGAAAACGGAAGACCTTAAAAAGTGAAAAAGAAACAATACAATAATAGAAGTGTCTTCCGTTGGAGACGGAAGACCCTAATAAAAGTGAAAAAGAAACAATACAATAATAGAAGGGTCTTCCGTTGGAGACGGAAGACCCTAAAAATACACTAAAGGAGATGATTGGTTGTACACCACATGGAACTGTCAGTTATATTTTCGATGCATACTGTGGTGCTACAAGTGACAGACAAATTATTGAACGTTCTGACTTACTTAGAGACCAGGACAAATTCCAAGACCATGACAGAATAATGGCTGACAGGGGTATCATGGTCCAGGATTTGTTTGCCCCTCGTAACATTCAGGTCAACACTCCAACAATGTTGAAAGGAAAAAGCCAACTTGAGGCACAAGACGTTGTTAAAGACCGAAGAATCGCATCAAAGCGAATTCATGTTGAAAGAATCTTTGGACTGGCCAAGACTTTCAAAATTCTCAAAAAAGAGCTACCACAGGGCAAAGCCATTTTAGGCTCTAGAATCATTTTTATTTGTTTTTCAATACTGAATTTTAGACCTTGCATCGTTGACAAATATTCATAATAACGTACTACCATTCAAATGAATATTATTTAATACATGTTGTAGAATAAAAACAATGATTTCAGTTACACTTGCATTATTCAATCTAACATTTTCACATTGTACTCAATTAACTGTTATTTCTTACATAATTTTGTCTTAAAGCAGCAAGTGGATACATCTTTATAACTACATGTATCTCTGTACGCCTCTTTACAAACCATTAATAACTTCATAAACATTTCTCTTGGATTATTCTAAATTCCAGGTTGACTACTGAAAATCTACATTTTGCAATATAGAACAATAGTTTCAATAGTAAACAAGAGGCCCATGGGCCACATCGCTCACCTGAGTAACTTTGGCCATGCTGTTCTTTACCAGATTCTCCCCCTTTTAATATACCTATTGTGGCTCCGCCCTACCCCCGGGGGTCATGATTTGAACAATTTAGAATCTACACTACCCCAGGATGCTTCCATATAAGTTTCAGCTTTTCTGGCCCAGTGGTTTTTGAGAAGAAGATTTTTAAAGATTTTTCTTATGTATTTCAATGTAAAACTTGGATTCCCTATTGTGGCCCCGCCCTGCCCCCGGGGGTCATGATTTAAACAATATAGAATCTACACTACCCCAGGATGCTTCCATATAAGTTTCAGCTTTTCTGGCCCAGTGGTTCTTGAGAACAAGATTTTTAAAAAAAAATTCCTATATATTTCAATGTAAAACTCCAATTCCCTATTGTGGCCCCGCCCTACCCCCGGGGGTCATGATTTGAACAATTTAGAATCTACACTACCCCAGGATGCTTTCATAAAAGTTTCAGCTTTTCTGGCTCAGTGGTTCTTGAGAAGAAGATTTTTAAAGATTTTTCTTATGTATTTCAATGTAAAACTTGGATTCCCTATTGTGGCCCCGCCCTACCACCGGGGGTCATGATTTGAACAATTTAGAATCTACACTACCCCAGGATGCTTCCATAAAAGTTTCAGCTTTTCTGGCCCAGTGGTTCTTGAGAAGAAGATTTTTAAAAATTTTTCCTATATATTTCAATGTAAAACTTGGATTCCTTATTGTGGCCCCGCCCTACCCCCGGGGGTCATAATTTTTACAATTTAGAATCTACACTACCCCAGGATGCTTTCATATAAGTTTCAGCTTTTCTGGCTCAGTGGTTCTTGAGAAGAAGATTTTTAAAGATTTTTCTTATATATTTCAATGTAAAACTTGGATTCCCTATTGTGGCCCAGCCCTACCCCCGGGGGTCATAATTTTTACAATTTAGAATCTACACTACCCCAGGATGCTTCCATATAAGTTTCAGCTTTTCTGGCTCAGTGGTTCTTGAGAAGAAGACTTTTAAAGATTTTTCTTATATATTTCAATGTAAAACTTGGATTCCCTATTGTGGCCCCGCCCTACCCCCGGGGGTCATGATTTTTACAATTTAGAATCTACACTATCCCAGGATGCTTCCACATAAGTTTCAGCTTTTCTGGCCCAGTGGTTCTTGAGAAGAAGATTTTTTAATGACCCCACCCTATTTTTGTCTTTTCTTGATTATCTCCCCTTTGAAGGGGACTTGGCCCATTATTTTAACAATTTACACTCCCCTTCACCCAAGGATACTTTGTACCAAGTTTGGTTAAAATTGGCCCAGTGGTTCTTGAGAAGAATTTGAAAATGTGAAAAGTTTACAGACGGACGGACAGACGGACAGACGGACGGACGACGGACAACGGGTGATCAGAAAAGCTCACTTGAGCTTACTTCTCAGGTGAGCTAAAAAATGTTATCCATTACAACAGTGCACTATAATGACCATGTTAACTTTTGAAAAACAATTAAAATATTGTGCTGATCTTAACAGATGTAAAAGGCTTTTCTGAAAAGAAAACCTGCAAATATCATCATATTATCCATATAGAAATGAAAAATTTATGCACAAGTCTTCACAGAAAAAGCTTTAACTGCAGATTTATGACATCAATTTACAATTTTTCAGCAAGAAATTTTCTGTAGTGTTTTTTTTATAAAACAACTCTTAACTTTGGCAGCATGCAACCACACCAATAATCTCTGTCAACATTGATTTCTTCCACAAAAATATCAACAAATGTGTACACAACAAAGAAACACTTCTCTTTTCTACACACATTACACTCCCCTTGCACCTGCATATAATAATTATGATTCTGTTTTAAATGCAATACACCATCATCATCCTCTAGCAAAAATGGGAAAAACTTGTCTGCAGCAATCTTACGATCTCTACCCTTATATGGACATTTAATTTCAACAATAGCACTTTCTCCAATAATGCCATCGGGCGAAGCAGCCAAATAATTGTTCTCCGAGTGTATGAAAAGACCACAAGCCTTTACTTTGAAACCCATTTTTTCTTGAAATGTTTGTCTTGCTACATCTTCATATTGTTGGCCATGTAAGACAGTTGGTGTTTTCAGTTTATGAGGTTTAAAGATGCTAGAACACAGCTTCAGTCTGTTACGTCAATCAGTAGCTTTGTAAATATCCCCAAACCTGAAAGCTGTCAAATGTCATTCTCTCTCTTGGTGCCAAACTTTCGACAGATTCTGTTTCCTAGTTCTGTGTTCGATGCGGGCAATGTCCCTATCTGAAACCTATACGAAAATTTAAAATTTGTTCATACCAAAGAAACACTTCAAGTATATCAAAATTCATTATTTATAAACCAGTTTTTATATTTCAAGAATTTATAATGTAACCTTATAAGAATAGTTCAGTAGCACTTTAAATTATCAATATCTTCAACTTTCACCATTGCCAGCAGCTGCCATATGGAGGCATTCAGTGTTTTACAAACACGTCTTGTTTTTTTTCTTTTCCAAAAGACATATAACTCATTACTCTTACAGAAGATTACAATTAACAAAATATTTCATTAATATCATACATTCTGAGCTGCATCTGTCCAATATTCAGTGAATGGCAGGTCCAAGTAATCATGGTCCAGTACTGCAAATTTGATAAATGCCTTGGGCTTCATGTACTTGAAAGATAAATCTGCTGACATTAAAGCACAGTAATTGGTTACAATGTTGCTCACATAATCGTTGTGTCCAGCAATTCCTCTGTATTTCTGAGGCCTTGGGTCACTAAGATCTGGGTTGTACCGACAAGGCATGTCTTCTGCTTTTATGGGGGAGCCTGTAAAATTCAAAGATTTAAAATAAGTCGGACATTAACCAAAAAAAAAACAACACATTAGTTTACGTGTAATTTAATTTAACTTCTATTACAATTTGCCAAATATGTATTTCAGAAATGAATTCCTGTACAACAGTGTACAAAGAAATTACATTTCCATCACTTTTAATTAAGTAATATATTTTTTAACATACTTAAGCGATTTTCCCCAATATTACTGTACCTTCGATATGGGCTTCTGATATATGTGGCATTAAGTCATAATGCTCTGATGTAATTTGTTCATACCCAGTAGTGGGCCAGTCTACCTTCCTTTCCACTGACAGCTCTATTACGGGACCGCTTAAGTTAAAATTTCGTTCGTATGCTTCCAACCTACACAGTAATATGAAATTTGTTTAACAGTTATTGTTGGCATATTGTCAGTACAATCACTGACAAGTAGCACTCGTGTGACTTGACTCTGATAACCCTAATTATTTTAATCATATTACGATTACTTCATTGAAAATCATTTATTTTTAACAGTATTAATGTTTTTCTTACCTTTCTATGAGATCTGTTTTTCTTCCCGTAGTTACAGCGCCGCGCAACATCAATTCTTTTTTCAATTTCTGTACG